TGTGCCACGTCGCCGAACCCGTTCTCTGCCACTTGTTCAAGCGGGTATGTGACAACAGTTGGTAGAAAACGACTGATACGAACGTTAGGATACAGCCCTGTCACTTGTTCACTTCAAAAACTGGTGGAGAACGAGTTTGGCGCCGCGCCAAACTCATTCCGCCTAACACGCCCCTTCGTCCGCAGCGAACTAGACTCCATATTATCCAATTTTGATGTAGTAAATCCCACTATGTGCATAATTCTGGATAGCTAGTGTGCTCGTAGGTGGCCCTGACTCCTGACTCTTTCATGCGGTCAACACGAGCTGTGCCTTCTACTTATTCTTTTATTTTCTTATTCATTTACCTATACCTCTGCCTATGCGCCTATGATCAAAAATCTAGCAGAAGTGTTCAGATTTTGATCGTGGTTGTTTTGGAGCACATCATCCTTGCGTCGAAGATCTTCATCGACTTGGCTGTGCCTGATGTGCCTTACTGGATTCGGATAGAAACTGCCAAACAGGAGCACTATCGCCGAGAAGCTTTCAAGGTTGGAATGTTCGATACAAGAGAAAAATTAAAAAAAATGCGTCATCAATTTTAGCGTGAGTCCAGAATGTTGTCCTCAGCGCGGACAAGCGGTGACTCTTCACCAGGCAGTGAAGCTTCATTCGACTATCGGCATCGCTCACTGGCAGAAAACCGTCTTCAACGAAGGAGCATGACACCTGGTGCTCGAACGAATGTAATTAAACGGGATAGTCGCGAGAATAACTGTATTGACAACTGATTAGTTCCATTCCAAGGAGAGTTTTCAAGACTGTACATAAGATTTTTTGTTATTTAAATTATATATCGCTACAAATCTGTACATGAATGCTTGATAAAGTGACTTTTCTTGCATTGGCACTTGACGTTTTATATGAGACAGCGTTCAGACTTCGCGACGGCAGCGCTTCGGTCGCGCGTTCGACGCGATCGATGCAGTCGAAAGCATGCGCATTGATCGCGTTGAACGCGCGACTGAAGCGCTGCCATCGCGAAGTCTGAACGCTGCCTTACACAGGATGCTCCATTTGTGAGCTAGCGGTAAGTACAGGGCAGCAGACTTGCTTTAAAGACACTCCCGCGCTCAAACAAGTCGTAGGCGTCCCTCCTCGTACATGTAGCCTGAAGCCTTGATTCTCCAGGACTATCCCCTTCAACGGTTTCAGGAAGTAACGAAAGCGTCGTGGCACCCATAAGTGACAATTCTGACGCTTCCAATATTCTGGTGTGACGGTTGTTCCGCTACTAACTCTCACATTTTCGAGTGGTGGTGAGTGGGGTGACAAGGTAAAAGACGTGGCACCGGTAAGTGAGAACTCGTCCGGCTTTAGCACGTGCAAGCGCAGTTTTGCAGTCCTTTATTGGGTAGTTCGCAGAAGCTCGTGTTGCTATTTTACTCACTTTGTGTTACTTGCCATCTTGTCATATTTGAACCGTACAACTCACCATTTTTCAACGCGGGCAGCCTTCAAAGGCTTAGGATATGCAGCTTGAAAGTGCTGCAATGAATCCGCACCCAAGTGCTGAATGTTTCAAAAATGTCTTTGTGACAAATCAGTGGTGTTTTTGCACTCGTGTGATCAGACATGTCCGGTGCCAGTTAGAAGCATAAGGCACGAGCATCTAGCACTTGGCCAAAAATAGTAGCAGGGATGCCATAAAGTGGGAATATGACGAAAAATCGAAGAAAACGGCCGAAATCCTTGAAAAAAAACGTGCTCTTCATTTCATTGGACGGGCTTTTTTTGGACGAGTTTCCCGCTTACATCGTGCCAACACCGCTCCGAAAAGGTCTGCACGTGTGTATTCATGTATCCATATGGCGACGCTTCACATCAGTTGTACTGCATGGAACGATAAGAGAACAATCATCGATAAGACTGGCCGGTCATTTGTGGGCGGGCGGTTGCGATGGGCGTCCGGTTTGGCATGAATCTTCCGTGCTGGGGGTATTGACCTTGTACGCCGATTTATCGTGAGACTTGCCTTTAACCAAACCGAAAGCAATAGAGAATGTTTAATTGTACTTGAGAACATCCGAAATTTGAACCCAGACATTGCATGGGGTAAGTGGCGCCGCTTACCACTACACCACATCTGCTCCCGACGCCCAGTTATGTAACAATAACCTCTGGCAGTATAGCAATAAAGTACAGTGCTGGAGGCGGAATGATTTATTCATATAATCAGGACCACATATATGAGCCATATAGCACCAGGAAGCAGAAGTTTTCCTGGATTTCAAAAAGAACAAAAGAACAAAGAAAACACCCTTCATTGTTTCATGCATCTCGGATCACAGTATTTCGGACAGTTAACCAACATCCAAGGCCCTCTCCACGGCACAAAAACTGAGTTGCACGTAGAAAGGAAACACATTACATCAGGAACTTTATTTGTGCAATCCTGAAATTGTTCATGTTTTAATGTTCGACTCCCGCCCAGGCTAACCAAGCCTTCTACCTTCCGTGAACGGTGAAGCTGCGTTTATACTTTGCGACAGCGTAGCGTAGCGCTTCCAGCGTACGCCAGCGGCAGTGCCGAAGAGAGGATGCATATCGATCTAGCTTCACCAGCGTCACCAGCGGCACGCTGGCGTACGCTAGCGTACGCCAGCGTTTCTCCAGCGTTTCACCAGCGTTTTGCTAGCGCTTGCAGCGGCAGGGGAGTAGAGACTATGTGGCCGTGAGAGAAGCGGAATCGACGTGTATTGTAGAGACCATATGGCCGTCGGAGACGCAGAAGCGATGTGCATTGTAGAAGAAGAACTATGTGGCGTTCGGAGAAGCCAGAACAAGTGTGCATGAGAGACTATGGGCGCCGGTCGAGACGCAGAGCGATGTGGCATGGTGTAGAGACTAAGGGCGAGTGGGAGACGCGCAATCGATGAGTTTTGTACCCTCCAGCTCTCCCATAGTCTCTACTCCCCTGCCGCTGCAAGCGCTAGCAAAACGCTGGTGAAACGCTGGAGAAACGCTGGCGTACGCTAGCGTGCCGCTAGCGTACGCCAGCGTGCCGCTGGTGACGCTGGTGAAGCTAGATCGATATGCATCCTCTCTTCGGCACTGCCGCTGGCGTACGCTGGAAGCGCTACGCTACGCTGCGCTACGCTACGCTACGCTGCCGCAAAGTATAAACGCAGCCTAATTGGTACAGATTTTGTCTGGTTGGACTGAAGCAGTGACTTGTACATCGGTTGGCTCCGCATTCAATAAGTCTCTATGATTGTGAATGGAAGAAAAACGCGGGCCGCAACCAAGGGATTAATCGATTACGGGGACTGCTTACTAACAAAATATTGTGGCTTCATTCCGTAACTTCGATCAGGCTCTAATAGCGACTTTTTTGGTCGACTGTCCTTACCGCCACCTTCGAGAATACTACCCGTCTACCGATTGGCCAAGCCCGAGAAACAACACGCTGCTCCTCATGGCGTCATTGGTGTATTGGTGGAACGGTCTTGGGAGGGATTTTGGCCACAAACTACTCCACCCTTCAACTAGTGACGCTCGCAGCCGTCTGCTCCCAGCCATAGCGCCCACTGCCCTCAAACTAGTTCGCTACTGGTGCGAATGTCGCGCCTGCAATGCCAGTTTTCGCCGCACGGTGTGCACATCGCGGTCAATTTCTACCCCCTATCTAGTTGCGTGGTTCCCAATCGAAACACATCTCATGCCAAACCCTACCCTACCTTACCATCTTCCCAACGATAAGTTTTCCCAACCTCTCTATCACCTTCACATAAAATCCGCCACTTTCCCTCGAAGAACTGACACCAAACAGGCAGGAGAGATACTATAAAAGAATAAGGGATGAAGCCTCCGCTGTTGATCAATTCCCTTTGTGGGATGCAGCACGCATTCTACTTCCATTCAGAATCGTAAAGGCTTTTTGAATGCGATACGGCCTTCCGGGGCCAGCCGATGTACAAGTCAGTGTTCTCATCCTACCCAGCGAATCTGGTACCAATTTACCGTCCTGGAGGAGTAGAAGGCTTGGTTGGCCTGGGCAGGAGTCGACCTGGGACTTGAACCCAGGTCCGCGCGAGTGGTAAGCGCGCTACTAGAGATATTATAACACACTGGAAAAGGGATAAACCCCAGTTGACAACTGAGAAAATTTCATTCAGGGCTTGTAAAATTTTTTCGAAACCACTCAAGACCTCCACCAAGCCAAATACGACCTCTACCCTCCAAAAGCCAAGTCCGATTTCCAGATGGGATACTCCCAACGATGCTCTACCCTGCGCCAATGCATTTTGCACAAAAGTAGCAGCAGTCTAGTTAGTATAAGGCAGCGTTCAGAGTTCGAGATGACACGCGTCTATGCGCTGTAATGTGCGTCAACCCGCTATCATTATAACAGCGCGAGCGCAGCCGCAGACGATCGGCGCAGATCGATTATCACCTGCGAACCCTCGATCGATGGACGCGGGTGCTGCCTAGTCATGCAGAGTGGTATCGATGGACATTGGCCATCTGCGGCATCGGTGGCGTCTATAGCTTTAGAGCGGTGTTCGTAACTGTAGCGCGTCGATGCGCGTTACAGCGCATTACAGTGCGTCGACGCCCGTCATCGCGAAGTCTGAACGCTGTCGAAAGAAACCTAAGACTCTTCACGTCAAAAGGAAAAGAAGACTAGCAGTCTCTCCATGGATTTTAGTGTTCACCCTCCCTAGATCCTCCCTTGGTTTACCAATGGACACAGTAAAATTGCTGTACGTCTCCTTCCCACTCCTTTCTCACAGCTCATAATTCCCTACCCTACGTGCCACTTTCGGC